GGTGGTCCAGTGGATAAGACTCCACACTCCCAATGCAGGGGGCCCAAGGTTGATCCCTGGTCGGGGAACTAGATCCCACATGCCTACCTCAACTAAGAGTTCGCATGCCTCAACTAAAGATCCCGCATGCTGCAACAAACACCTGGCTCAGCCTAAATGAATAAATATTTTAAAAGTAAATAAATAAAAGGGGGCTTCCCTGGTGGTGCAGTGGTTGGGAGTCCGCCTGCTGATGTGGGGGACGCGGGTTCGTGCCCCGGTCCGGGAAGATCCCACATGCCGCGGAGCGGCTGGGCCCGTGAGCCATGGCCGCTGAGCCTGCGCGTCCGGAGCCTGTGCTCCGCAACGGGAGAGGCCGCAACAGTGAGAGGCCCGCGTACCGCAAAAAAACAAAAAGAATAAATAGATAAATGTCCTGAGATTTCAACAACAACAAAAATGATAATTATATTTGATGAGTTGGGGAAAGGCAGATTATGAATGTAAAGCACTGAGCCTGGAGAATAGTACATTGTAAATTCCCAGTACACGTTGGCTGTTATTACCATCCTCCTCTGCCTCGCCGTCCTCCTCATCATTAACAGCATTCCAGAAAGGGGGAATGTGTTTAAGGCACAGAGACAGAAAACCACACAAAGCTGCTGGGAGTTCACAAACAGTGTCACGTCTCTGGTGCACCTGAACGGGGGCGAGAGGAGGAGACCACCCAGGTCTTGCCGAGCCATGATTACCCCCAAAGAACTTGGGGCTTCATCCCGAACCTAAACAGGGATAGCCTTCAGCAAGAGAGTCCATGAGATCAGATCTGCATTTCTGGAAGGTTGGCGAGGGGACCCAGCCCTGGGGCTGCTGCCATGGTCTAAGAGAGGAATTATGCTCTTCTGGGTCAAGTAGCAGGGGTGAGAGCAGTGGGAATGGAGGCTGAAGTGGTAGCACGGATAGACTTTTGAGACCACTTAGACGTTAGAGGTGAGGGAGAAGAAGAGAGAGGCAGCTAGGATGGTCTTGGGTTTCTGGTTTTGGTGAACAAGAATGATGGGGTCAGTAAGGGGAGGCACGGGTTGGGACAGGGCAGTGAGATGGGGGGAAGTGAGCAAAGGGCATAAGACTTCTCTGCTCTTGAGCACTTCCTGGATGGGCGTGGCCATCATGGTACCACCGATGACGGACAGAGGCAGAATTTAGGAAGCACTGAACATGGTCCTGCCACTCTGCGAGGCTTCTGCCTGCATCATCTCATTTAATCCTTCCACCAACTTTATGAAAGAGATATTGTCATTATCCTTTTTTTTTTTACAGAGGAGGAAACTGAGGCTTCCAAACTCGCCTACAGTCACACAGTAAGTGGTGGAGCAGAGATCTACACACCTGTCTCCTTGACTGCAAAACCCACATCTCCTAAATGAAAACACTCCACAGACGCGGTGAACCAACATCACCTCTGGCCCTTTCTCCTCCGTGTGACCTAGAGACACGTGGCCTTGTCTTCCTAGCAGAGCCAGTCCCCATCTGGATGCATAGCTAGGAGAGAGAGCTCCCTCTCCTTCGGTGGGGACCCCTGGGCATGGTGCAGCCTACACAGCTGAACACGGGGTCCCTGTGCCCCATTTCCTAAGCACGGTTCCCTTGCTGTCCCCCTGGGGCAGGATAGGACCCATCTGAGGACACCATAAATCCATGAAGACATTTCAGCAGCTCTAAGGGTCAGGTTTCACTCTGGTTAAATGACACTTCCCAGAGGAGTGCTGCTTTTCTACACATACTGCTACTTCCCTTGCCTGGATGGGATGCACTGTCCTGGGAACTACATAAGCCCTGGCGACAAAGTGGGGTTTTTATTAAAAAAAAAAAAAAAAAGGTAGAACTAGGGGTAAAAATTGGACCAAGAAGAAATAAAAGATGGGTGTATATTTGGCACCTTTGTAATGAAAACCTTTGGGACTGTGAAATTTGCTTTCCTCAGCAATGTGGAGCAATGAAAATTGCTGCAGTTAATTAATGGCTGTGACTTTTAGCATAGCAGTTTCCAAATGCCAGTCCTTGGGCCAAGTAAGTCCACGATGAAGTGTCACGGCAAGATGAAATGGGAAAAATAAGGGCAATGAAATATGCCTGTGTAGGTGGAGACGTATACTATGTAGATTACATAAATTTATCCATGTCTGCATAACTTTTCCAATTGCCTTTCTTGGGAAAAACTCTCCTTTCTTCTGAGACTATTATCTTCCAATTTTGAGAGTACTTTTTACACTCCAAGCAGCAACGCCAAGATTCTGGAACAACTATTGCAGTTAGCAAACCTTGTTTAATCATTTAACCAACATTCATTAAACATCTACTGTCTGCCGAGCTCTGGGGATGTCCCGGAAAACAAGATTAACCAACTGCTGCTCTCACAGAGCTCACCCAGCGGGAAAGGAGGGTGCTGTTGATGTCATAAGGAGCAGAAGGAATACTGTGAAGGAGAACACAGGGTGTTACAGGAGCACATGCCGGGCAAACTGGCCTCACTGGAGCTCTGGGAAGGCTTCGTTGAGAAAATGGCGTTTAGGCTGAGCCCTGCAGGATGAGTAGGAATTAGCTGGGTGAAGTGACCCTGAGTGGCAGCAAAGGATGAGGTATTTCTGAGGAACGGGGGAAAGTGAGTGAGGCTCACGTGCTAGGTGACTGGCTATGTCGCAGGAGCACTTTACCGGTTTGCATGTAGATAGTCTACGGCTAAGAAAGGAAAGTTCCCCTGCACAGGGTAAGCCAGAATCAGACCCATGCACCATGTCGCCAGAAGATGCTCCCAACTGCTTGCAGCAAAGTCAAGTTATAAATGTGGGACTGCACGCTCTCACGCACTGTTTGATAAATAAGTGTCCAATGAATAAGATGCTGTAACTAGTTGGCAAGGCTGGGCAAACAGGTCATTCTTCTGACCGCTCTGTGCCTTGTTTTTCCTTGTGTGTAAAATAAGAGGGTTAGACCGTACAAACTACTATATATAAAATAGATAAGCAACAAGGACATACTGTTGAGCACAGGGAATTATACCCATTATCTTGTAATAACCTGAAATGGAGTATAATCTGCAAAAATACTGAATCACTATGCTGTACAGCTGAAACTAACACAATATTGTAAATCAACTATACTTCAATAAATAAAGTAATTAATTGAATTAAATAAGAGGGTTGGATTAAATAAGCTCTAGGGTCTGCCCTGGGCAAACATTCCATAATGAGAAATGCAGAATAGCATTTGAAAATTGAGGTCAGGGTGGTAGGTGTTGCATGTGTGTTAGCAACAATCCTCATCACAGCCCCAGGAAATAGGTGTTGTTACTACCATTTTACAGATGAGAAACTGTGAGACAGACAGCAAAAGTTCCAAGGTCATGCTCGAGTACACAGCAGATCCAGGATTCAAACCCAGTTCTGTTTGATTCCCAAATCCATGCTCTCTCCATCAAACCGAGCACACTACCATCAAGTTTTACGATGCTCTATGATTTAGCGGTTGCTGCATCAGTATTCTTCAGCCTGGCATTCAGAGTCTCTTCTGTGCCACTCTTCCCCTTGGCTCTAATCAGACTGGCCTCCGGGCTGGCCCAGTATCGCCATCACCCGGCAGCACTCTGCTCATGCTGTCCATCTTCGATCTCCCCATCACCTTCTCCCTCTCCCACTGGAATGAAATCAAGTGAGCAACTGGACGATGACCCAGAAACAAAACACACTGGACATGGTCGTACAAGCACATGGGAGGAGATGTTACAGGAGAGGATATCTGAAGCCCAACTAGGCCTTCAGAGTAGCCTTAGTAGAAGGAATGACAGCACTAAAGCTCTTGGTAGGCAGGTCACTGTCGGGAGTTCCTGCAACTGTGACAGCTGCACCAAGTACAGTGGGGTAGAAGACACGCAGATCCAGGCATGACGCTGACCCGGAGTGGCCCGGAAAATGGCAGGGGAATCCCTGAATTGGGTCAAGTACCAAGACAGGCACTTCAGCCATGAGAAAAACAAGGCAAGAAACACCACGAGAATGGAGCCCAAGGTTGGGACTTGGCTCCAGAGGGCATAAAAGGAGCCCAATCATTGACGAGTGATGCCTCGTATGAGCCAGACCAGCAACAAAACTTCCCAAATTGGATGAGGGCTGGTCCCAGGTGTTGGAGCAAATGTGAGTCTGATATCTTGGACAGGGAACCAGTGAGACCATTTCAAGGATCTTGGCTGCCTTGGTTCTAATTCTATCCCTGAAGCTGACTAGCTGGGTAATCCTGAGACAGTAATGAGAGACAGTTCTCCTTGGGTCTCTCATAAGTTTGCATGTCTTATGAGAGAGGCACTGACTACTCTTTGTTCCAGATTTATCTTTTCAAAGGCATTGGTATAATAAACAGCCTTGGAAGACAGAGTCTCCCTTCGGAACAAAAATCAAGGCTTTTACCCCCCATTATAAAAGATTTGGGTTCCCTAAGCTCAAGGTTCCTCTTCTGTGATGAAACCCACTTCGTGTGCAGGTGTCATCTGGTCCGCTTAGCATATTTTTCAACAAATTCTATTCCTTCCTTCCACCACCCATCTCAGAGAGGTGGTATAGGGATCATAAAAAGAACTCAGTGTACATGGTAATGTGCTCCATTATTATAATTATTATTAATAATACAAATTCTACAATTTTTTCAAGTCCCAGCTTATGTCTGGATCTCCATGATGACCTTCCCCAGCACTCCGGGACAGAGGCTAGTCACACAATCTATACATATTGTCAAACATTTTTATGCTTACTTCTTGAGTGTTATTTTTAACTCCTGGACTTTACTATTAGTGTTTGAGGGCAGGGACAACATCTCCCACCTCTTCTAGATCAGGCATCTACACTTAGCTTTATGGTAAAGGTGCCCAGTAAACACATAAATTGATAAGTCACATATGTCACCATTCTACATACCTATTACCAGAAGAAACATAAGAAAAGTCAATAGGAAGGAACGTTAATTTGTTTTTAATTAGTTTTACTGTCTCTGTGATGCAAGTTTTGTAGCCTGGAGAGAGGGCAGGCTGTTCAAAACTGTCTGTGGGATGACAAGCCCATTGAACTTATCTGAAAGGCTGATTTAGCAGTTCATGTGTTCATAGGATTTTTACATCAAGGATATTATTAAGCACAGACTTAAGTATTTATATATGCAACGCAGAATACAATAATTCATATAAGTTCTTTCCAACAACTCATCATGTGGAACAGACCACCTGCCCACCCACAGGAAACCGTCAGGGTCAAACTTCAGAAGCCACATCTTCACACTGTTCCTGGGATCTCTGAGCCACAGGGTGTGTCACCTATTCAAAAAAGATGTTAATGGAATTAAGTTCTGAGCTATTATGGTCAGCAAGCAATAACTCTTATGAGCAAAAGCAAAACTAAGGCAATAAGAACCAAAATTAAGCAGATACAACAAATAGTTTTCATGCTATTGACATCATTATACATGTTCAGTGTATCCAGTGAGTTTCTTTTCTCCAAGATACTTGTCCCGCAAGATGGGTAGAGGTACCTTGGTCACGGCCTGATCATCTAACAGCCATGCATCTCAGATACATGATTTATGAAGTGCTGAGAATGTTCTCTCAATGAGTTATGCTAAGATGCTAAATTGTTTCTTCAGGGTCACCAGTACAAATCCAAAATGCTACTGCCATTGGGTATGACAGTCCACAAAGTAATATGAGCCTATCATTTCACAAACCTGCAAAGGAAGATTTTGCACTCCCCAAAAGTGCCCAAATGTGGAAGTCTATCAGTGTTAGAATCTGACATCATGTCAGCATTTTCATCTCCCGCAAGCAGAGAGAACTGAGAAGGTTCTACAAAGAGAATCCTCCTGTCCCCTTATCTCCTGTGTTCTGGTCTGAAGTGTAGACCATCTGCCATGTTCCCTAACATGGATTTTTCAAAAACACCAGGATTCTCAGGGAATGTTACAACCTGTGAAATCATGTATGTAACGTGTCTGATTCATTATAAGGACTCACCGAATGTTAATTCCCTGCTCTCTGTCCTTCTCCCTAAAGAAACCAGAAATTAGGAATAAGATTGTGCTACCAAACCCAAGAGAGCAGCGACAGAGACTACAGATCACTTCATCAAACGCTTCCTCCATCCCACCAGCCACGCGTGGGACAGAGGGCAAGAGGAAACCCAGGCACGTCTGTTGCCACTGGAGATGGGAACACACATCTTTGCAAGTCTGTGCTGTGAAGAGATTCTCCCAGATTAATAGATCCTAATCTTCCCAAGAGGTTCAGGTTATCCCTAGGCAGATGACACACCCTATTGAGAGGGTTCATGTGACCATCAGGAAATGGAATTTTAGCATCTCTTTCTTTCACCAGAGCATGAGGGATTTGCAATGTGATTGAATGCAGCCTTTGACCATTCACGGTTGTGCGTGTGACACCCTCTAAAACACCCACTATGTATGCTGTAGGGGAGCAAAATTTGCCAGCCCAAAATATGCCTTTTTGGCCTGAGGATTAATTTAGGCTGATTATTTTTAAGAAACAGAAGACTCAGGAACTCTGACCTTCCCCATAACTTCCTAAAAGAATTTAGATAGAAGACCTGTTCCTGGAATACAGCTGTCACTAGAGGGATCTGCAGAGAGTAAGGGCTGAGTATAGTGGGGAAGCTCAGCAGGGCCTGGGGATCAGAGTCCACTCTGTATCCCACTGTCTCTGGATGGCCCAACAAACATTCATTTACCAAACATTCGCTTTACTAACTCCATGTGAATTGCTTGCCTCCCCTTCCAAATCCCAAACCCCTATCCCCAACATTTTCTTTCGTCTTTAGCTGAAGGTAGTATCGAAGGGGAGGGCTTTGGCCAACACTGTGGTGAGTTACCCCATTTTCCTGGGTCTCTTCCATGTATACTTGTTATTAAACTTTTGTTTGATTTTTCTCCTGCTAATCTGTTCCATGTCAATTTCATTCTTAGAGCAGCCAGAAGAACCTAGAAGGGTGGAGGAAAACTTCCTCCCCAACAATGCAGTCATGCCCATGCAGGCGGCCAGGCCGACCATGCTGCCCAGAGCTGGGACCAGAACAGACCTCCAGCACCTCCTTGATTAAGCAACTTTGCAGAGTTAATTAAAAATCAGAAACAATGGGACTGATTTCACAAACCAATATATCCTTGTTGTTTTTGCTTATGCCTAAGAGGTGAAATTCTAACCATGGGCAAGTCAAAACACTCTCTACATAAATTAAGTACAATTATGTCTGACTGCAGATACAGAAATATCAAGTATAAATAGCTGGGAGATCTTAAGATGAAAGGTCCAATTCTCTTTGCTGTTTGTGATGTGATTTTGCAGGAATCCCATGTTACTGCCCTTTTCCTCTTTTGGCCTGTACCTTCCTCTTCTCCCATCTGAGGAAATGGAGCTGGAAGGAGTGCTCAGAGCCTTTGTCCCTGGTTTGCCAGAAGGGAAGGAAGAAAAAAGAATGGAAAGGAGACTCTGGGTTGAGCTTTGAAATTTAAAGGTTACTTAGAATAAGCCCTTAAAGCCCAAACTTCAGATAACGAGCAATTACTACAGATAACGAGCTGTATCAGAATGACTTCTTGTACCTGCCATACAAATGTCCAGAGTTTTAATGATTGTTTTGGCTTCATTTACTCAAGGGCCTTGGAATTCTTTAACATGAAAGGCCCCAGGAGACAGAAAGGGATTAATGACAGGCTTTCCATGTTATTATCCTCCCACAGAGACACCTGCAATCTGGAAGGCAAACGTGAGTCTCCAGCCTGAAGCACTCAGGTGAGTTGTAGTTTTTGCTGCTTCAGAAAAGTTCTCCAGGAGTGACCAACAGCACCAAGAAAAAAGGGCAGCAGAGAGAGTAACAGCACTTATAACGCTAATAGCATGGGGGAGACTTACCTGTCACCAGGGGCTCTCCTCAGCACCTTTAATTCCATCCTGACAACAGCAACATGGTTTTACATTTTCCAGATGAGGAAACTGAGGCACAGAGATTAAGTAACTCGCTCGAGTTTAGACATCTTATAAGTGGTACAAGACAGGATTTGAATCTAAGTCTGAGTCTGGAAAGTAAGCCTCGACAGAAAGTCAGCCAAAACTATTTAATCCTGTGCATTTCGTAAAAGGCTTGACCAGCTCAGGTGACCTTTGGCCCCTGTTCCTCCTTCTGCAGCTGTGGTCTCATCACTGATGCCTGCCAACCCTTGCCCACCATGTCCAAGAAAGTATGTGGAAAGAAGCTCAGGAAAATAAGAGGGTATCTGCTGAGCATCTGTTCCTCGGGTCTGTCTAAGAAGCTGCTGTGTCAGGCCGGGTTGAGAGATCTAATAGCTACAGGCAGAAGGAGAACTGCTTTTGGCTCCGGGCAGACACTTTCAAATACAGACGAAGTGGAGCTCTTTCAGAAGAGCAGCCCGGAGGGCAAAAGACCCAGCGACTACACCAAATAAGGAATTGCTGAAGGAACCAGAGAGATTTAGCCTGAGGAAGAAAAGACTCAGTGGACGGGAGAACTATCTTCAAACATCAATCTGTTCTTGTGGGAAGAAGGATGAGGTCCTGCCTGATGGCTCAATGGAGAGAATCTACAGAAAGGCAAAGAAGCTGATTTCAGCGAATGCTCAGAGCTGTCCAGAGACTACTGCACTGCTGAAACCGAGCAGGACCCTGTGGGGCCCTCCTGGGTACAAAAGACTTTCCACGTCTCAGTTTCTTGTTTGTAGGGGAAAGACCAGCCTCCTACCTTCTCTGCATTCCAAAGGGCAAATTCAAGCAGTTACTAATTATGGAAGTAAGGGAGGATGGAAACAAAGTCAAGAAACAATAGTGCAACGATGGGGCAGGATCCAGGCCCTCCTCGAGGGATATACATAAAAATATCTTTGAGTCCTTCTGCAGGAACTAAGGATCCCGCCCAGGAGGAGGATAGTAACTTCGGGCTGAGCACAAGTGCAAGATCCCTAGAGTACCACCCTGTTACCTCACCACCAACCAATCAGAAGAAAGTCACACACCCTGCAGCCCTCACTCCAAATGTTGCCCAAAAATACTCTGCTCCAAAAACCATTGCAGAGTTCAGGTTTTTTTGAGCACCAGCTGCCCAGTCTCCTTGCTTGGCCCTGCAGTAAAACTTTCTCTGCTCCAAACTCTGACATTTTGGTTTGCTTGGCCTCACCATGCGTCAACACACAAACTTGCATTCAACAACACTGCCTAGTCTTAGTAAAGGTACTTAAGTACAAACTAGAAGACCACTGGCATCCTCGTTAGTAATGCATCCTTTCACTCTCAAATGAGTCCTGGTTTGGGTCTAATTGTTAATAGAAGGGGGATCCCTTCCAGGGCCCAAGAGTGGGGTCTTGTCTAACACTCGGAAGTGAATTATCTGAGGAGACGCGTGTACTGACAAAGCAAAAGGCTTTATTGGGAAGGGGCGCCCAGGCAGAGAGCAGTGGGGTAAGAGAACCCAGGAGAACTGCTCTGCCACGTGGCTCACAGTCTCAGGCTTTATGGTAATGCGGTTAGTCTTCCTGGTTGTCTCTGGCCAATCATCTTGCCCATGCCCATATTTGGTCCAATTCAAGACCCTTCCTGGTGGTGCACACATCCCTCAGTCAAGATGGTTTCCAGCGCAAGGGTTTCTGGAAGGTTGGCAGGACATATTATGGGCTGGCGTCTCCTCCCTCCTTTTGGCCCCTCCCGAATTCTCCTGGCTGGTTTCCCAGCAGCAGCATCATGTTCCTTATCGGGACCTCCTGTTGTGAGACAGCTCACACAAGCAGTTATTATCGCGCCTGGCCAAGGCAGGCAGTTTCAGTCAATGGTTCCCTAACAAAATTACTGGTCACCAGAAGGAGGGAACAGAGCCCTTTGGCTCCCAGATAACTTGGGCAGGTTCCAAAACATTTCCAAGCTGTAATTTTTAAATTTGCATATACAAAATTTTTTGAGATCATAATCCTATGAATGATTTGTAACTACAGGGATTATACTTCGTACCTACTTTTCCAACATTTCCATTGTGGGAATTGAGCCTATTCCTTCACAGGCTTGCTCCACTTTCCTCTTTTTGTGAGTGCGCTGCCAGCAGAGAAAACAGTCCTGGAATGTTGTGCTGAATGGAAACGGCAGGAAAGCACTGTTTGACTTGGAATTCCGTAACGTGTGGCAGACAGGGTAGAGGACAGACTGGGCTCTCTGAACAGGGTGTTCTTTGGGGTCTAGGGAACTTGGTGAAAGAATCTGAGTTCAAAACAAATGGGAGGGAAGAGCAGAAGGGATGAGCAGGGACCAGCCTGGTGTCCCGATGTGCCTGGCGGAAAACAACGTTTGGGATACAGTTGCCTTTGCCACACGGCAGCACTGCTTTGTTTTCCTGTGTGCCTTTTTTTTTTCTTAAGAAAATACATCACAAGCCTAGGGACTAAAATAGTAATATTTAATTATAGTGTATAGGGAGGGAGGAATTAAGAGAAAAAACAAGCAAAAAAGACAGAGTGAAAGACAGACTTATAAGAGACCTCAGTGAAAGAACATCACGTAGGAAGATGAAGTAAATAGATTTGCGTACAGTCTGGGTGCCAGGCCAGTGCTGCCTCAGTCAGGGGGCTAGAGCAGAAGCTCGCTCAAGTTTCCTTCTAGTTTATGATACTTTGTTTATTGCAAAGAGGAATTTCAGCTCCATGCAGTGTGAGAGAGCAGGGAGCATGCAGCTGGAGCCACCTTGCCCCTTAAATCCCCTCATCTCTTTGAGCCCCCAGGTCCACGTGTGTCCACATGAAACTCTTAAGACAGCGGTTTCCAAGGCCTCTACTGACTCTGAAGTTCAGTGATTCTGTGATTAAATTGTAAAGGAAGTTATAAGTGCCCTGGAAATGTCTTTCTCCGGGTAAAGTGAGAAGTGGAGGGAGTAGCAGGAAGGGAATTTGTCCATGAGCGTCTTGGAGTATTTGTAAAAAGGAAAAGAGCCGATGAGAAATGTAAGCAGGGAAGCCTCTAGACTTTTCCAGAGGATCAATTACCTCTGTCTACTCACGTCTGATGATTACCAATGCGAGGGGCAAAAGCAATCTCAGATATACCCCTCTCTTCTGGAAATTTCCTCAAAACATGAGGTGATGGGTAGTAATGGTCACAACCGATAATG